GGAGAGACGAAACGTTTCACTAAAGAAGAACCATCCAGAGGACCTACTGATGTTTTCTTTTTGATTTTTTCTACCTGGTTTACTGAGATGAATCAGGACATGGAGAAAGAAATGCAATTCTCTTTACATTATGGGAATAACTGAGAAGACGCCAATAGCTGCTGGCAGTCGCGACTGCAGTCACTCTGGTACTGGTACCGTTCAGACAGCGGGAACAGCTGATCAACCATGTGAGGTAAGTGTTCGCTACGTCAGAACTTATTCGGCAAATGTGTTTCCATCTCTCCTTTCGCGCATTAACTCTTTTTCTAAAAACCCAAAATCCACCTCAAGTGAGCGTATCAACGTTTTTACAAATTAGAGGAAGTTTTTTCAAATCATGCCGTTTCCATTTACCTTTTCTGATCCGATACTTCAAAATGCACATTTAAAAATGTTGATGGAAACACGGCTACTGACTAAATAAACAAAAACATTGGGGATTTCTCACACGTTATTAAACTTGGACATATTTCTAAAATATAACAAAACAGAAATCTTTTAGTCTGCTGAAGGGGGGAAATAATTTAAAATAATACAATAAGTGGAACACTTAAATCCACCATGAACAGAAAGATGTAAAATTATTGTTAATAAATTGTTTTTAGAATTTTAGAATTTTTAGAATTAATTTTCCCTGATTCTTTACTTTTTGCTGCCTTCTTGTTGGTTCTGTCTGTGGTTAAAATTATATAAAAAAATTAACTTTAAGTGGATTTACGTGGAGTTCAGCTGTTCTCTGTGGCTGAAACCTGCTTACCTCTGGGGGAACCTACTCTTTTTCTTCAAAGCTCAGAACTGATGCATGGTTCTGTTGGGCCAGCCATCCATTTCTGCAGGTGGGGCCGTCTCGTCCAAAACCCCCGTACCGAATCAGAACTCCGAGCCCCCGTACCGAATCAGAACTCCGAGCTCAGCTCCCTGTTTTGACTAAAACTGACCAAAAACTACAGACACTGAACTAACAAACTGTAAAACCCAAAATGTCATAAAGAAACATATAACCTACAAACAGCAGCAATTTGTGCACACCTGTCTGAACATTTCCTTCTGTAACGGAAGGTGACTGTCACATGTTTGTCATGGTGGTCGAGCGGTCATGGAGGTGGGACCCACACGGGAACAATGACGAAAACTTAATAAATAAGTGAATTCAATGAGATTCTATGTTTTACACTGGATTCCATTTTGCTTGGTCAATTCTGTGTGCGTTTTCAGCATCGCAGAAATTATAGGGCCTTAAGAATATGTATCTTACAGGACCTCTTAACCCAGGGGCCTACCAAAAGGTTAAGTAGGCCCTGGGTATGCCACAATACCATCATTCAACCCAAGCCTACTATGAATGTGATCTAAAGCATTGACTAGTCTCTATAGAATGATTTATCCAGATTAGCTGTGTAGAGAAACATATTAAAGTACTGAATCAGGCATGGGCAATCCTGATCCTGGAGGGCTGCAGCCCTGCATGTTTTACTTGTTAACTAAACTTTAAGCTAAACTGCAGCAGCACAAACATGCAACACATAGAAATAAAAAAACTTGTTGAACAAAATTATAAAAAAATATTCAATTTAAGCATTCAAGAGACACAAATGCATGTACAAGTAAAATGAAAAACTATGTAAAATATATATTTAAAAAATTAAAACTTCAATTATGTGTTAAAACATATAATTTATTGGAACTAAGCTGGAAAAATAAATATGAAGTTCAATTAAATTATAAAACATGAAGTAAAGTTCTCCTTTTTAATTTATTTGGTGCATTTTAAATGTATTTATTTATTTATTTAAAGGCTCATTTATCTATTTCTGCTTTTATTTCTAATTATGTCAGTGTCGGTCCTCCATACTGCAACGCTTGGAAGAGGAAGTTCAGTGACTGAATCAGGTGTGTTGGAGCAGGAAACATGTAAAACATGGACCAGGATTGCCCACCCTTGTACTGAATGAATGTGTGTAGATGAGTAAATGAAGGCACACACTGTATTGTAAAGCACTTTGAGTGTCCTAATTGGATAGAAAGGTGCCACAGTCCATTTATAATAATAGAAAACAGTTTAATCTTTATATACTCTGGCCTTCTATGGGCCAGTACTCACCAATCTCTGGGAACTCTTTCACCCTCATCCCTGACTGCAGTCTCACATCCTCCATGTGAAGGTTCTTGGTGTCAGATGTGGAGTTGTTTGTAAACTGCAGCTGCACAGCCACCATGTTGGCATCGGGGCTGAATGGTTGCCGGCTGAAGCAGTACTCCACTGACAGACCCTCCCCAGTGATGCGGTGCAGCAGCTCGTAGTTCTTCAGTGCACCGGAGGGAATTATAGTCTGTGGAAAAGATTTCCTGATTCTGTAATCTGCATTTCACTTTTTTTTTTCATTATCTTGCTACTAATGAAAAGAAAAATTGGGAGTAATATGTGTGAAGTTCATACAGCTGGTGAAAGGATGGAGTCGGACAGAGACAATCCCTCCAAGTCCGTCGCAAGGCTGTTGGACAGTAAGGTGTTCACGGGTGTGACTTGAGGCGAGGGAGTGGGTTCAACTGGAAAAGAGACACACAAAAAAGTAGTCTTGCCTAGTTATTGTGCTTATTAATAACAACAGCTGCCTTCTTTAAAGAAAACAGTACCAGGGAATGAAAAACTCACAATCATCAAGGTCAAGCAAAGACATTTCTTTCTTCTCTTTTTTTTCCTCCTTCCTGACGGATTTGGACGGAGGTTTAGATTCAGCTGCCTGAAAGAATATTGGGTAAAACTGCGGCCAACTTTCAAGCATCTGATTGAAACTGGGGTACTTTTCTGTAGCTCATCAATTCAAATGAATGTCTTATTTTTTATTTAATAAAGTGCAAAGTGTACCTTTTTTTTCTTTGTGACAACTGCTTCAGACTCAAAGTCTTCAGACTCTGACGGGCTGCTCTCAGACTCACTCCCTTCATCTTCGACAGAATCTGACTCTGAGTCACTCTTTAGTTTTTTACTCCTTTTCTCAGGCTTCCTGTCTTCTTCTTCACTGCTTTGTTCACTGAAAAAGTAAAAGCAAAAGTTTATTTCCAACTTAGATTTTGGAGTTTGTTGTACAATGAATAGGACAAGTAGTGATAACAGAAAACACCTTAAAACAGAAAATACCCATAGTGAAAGCACTTCTTAAAACAGATTGAACTTTAGAAAAATAGATTCACCACCTTTCACTTTCTTGCACTGGCTTCTTTGGTTCTTTTTTTTGGTTTTTCTTTTCCTTCTTATCTTCCTCCTCTTCCTCAGTCTCAGACTCTTCCTCACTCTCACTCTCCAAACCTGACTCGCTCTCCTCGCTGACACTGGCGCTGGCGCTGTCCGTGGTGCTTGCAGAGTCCGACTCTGGGAAAGGAAGGAGTGATCTGTTAGACCAGTGGTTCTCAGTCCTGATCCTCAAGGTCTCCTACCCTGTTTTGGTTGGTCAAAACTATTTCATTTCATAAGTGAATGTATATAAGCAGTGTGATTTAGGAAATTGCAATGACGAATATCTTCCCTTGGGAATTAGACCTGCTGGGGGCTAAGCAGCCTTAAAGTTCAGATCCTAGAACTGCTCCTGACCCAAGCCCCACCAAGCAGTCACCAGGCCGAGCCGGCACATACCCGAGCACCCAGACTCAGACACCGAAAGTCACCAGCGCACTGGTGGGCAGAGGCACCACCCACCAGAGGGGAGAGTTGCCCCAAACATGTCGGCAACCCCCCCCCCCCACACACACACACACACACACATGGCAACCCCCCATCATGAACGCTGCACCAGGCCGACAGGTCAGCCCCCCAGACGAAGCAAAACCACGCTCTCGACCATTACAATGGTGGATTAAATTAAGAAAATAGCTTTGCTTTATTTACTGAGAAAGAGAGTATGTCGTTCTCATCATATTTTATAATTAATTCACCAGATAATTCAGAGATGTCTGATGTTGGTGAGTTTCACCACTCCAGGAGCTGCTCGTTGACAAGGCTTGCTTTTAGAACTATTTTTGTCCAGAGCCCAGTTTGACAAGCTGCTGACTCGCATCAGTGTCCACATCTCCTGCCAGGACACCAACTACAGGCACTCGATTTCAGCTGAAGAGCTCCTGTCCATCTGTCTCAGGTTAGTGGGCATCATTCATGAGACCGTCCCACCGGAAAATATGCCACTAAGTTACATGGTGGAGTCTCTGATTGGTTGACGCTGCAAAAGTAAAAAATTTTCAACTCCAGCGTCTGCCACTTTGGACGCACATCACACACTCAAAACTCTTGAAACGCTTCAAAATGAGCCACTCGAGACATGCTACAGCACTTCCCAACGCCACTTGACGCACGTCCACCATAGACTTTGCATGTAAACCTGACGCTCAAAACGCCTTTGGTGTTAACGCGGCATTAGATTGCTGGAGGACAAACTGACCATATTTCCTCACTCTTCTGCAGTCTTTACTTGCTCTACTCTACATGTTAGTATTTGCAATTATTTATTTCTTCCTCTAAAGAAATACACATGAACAAGTCATTAATCGTGTTTCCATCCAGTTGTAGAGTGAATTTTTATTGAACTTTTTAAAATTAGCAAAAAATTGAATAAATAAAAATTCAAATCTAGACTGTTTCCATCTAGTTTCCCTCTCGACTGTTTGATGCAAATAAACGAGGCTACGCAACGCGTGATTACATCAGACGAGGCTACGCAACGCGTGATTACGTCAGACGAGGCTACGCAACGTGTGATTACGTCAGATGAGGCTACGCAACGCGTAATTACGTCAGACGAGGCTACGCAACGCATGATTACGTCAGACGAGGCTACGCAACACGTGATTACGTCAGACAAGGTTACACGTGTGATTACGTCAGACGAGGCTACGCAACACGTGATTACGTCAGACAAGGTTACACGTGTGATTACATCAGACGAGGCTACGCAACACGTGATTACGTCAGACAAGGTTACACGTGTGATTACGTCAGACGAGGCTACGCAACACGTGATTACGTCAGACAAGGTTACACGTGTGATTACGTCAGACGAGGCTACGCAACACATG